TCTAAAGCCAAATTAGTACATCCTTTTGTTTCCAACAACACGCACTCCTAAGGGAAAAGGTAAGAAATCAAAAGAAATAAAAAACAGTGATACCAAGTAAGGTCGACTATTCACCAAACTAAAAGTCTAAAACCAATATTAACTATTGACTTCTCTTTGTGGTAGCCAATATTAACCACTGATACATTACCCGCACCAGTTTGGCACTCACAAGTAAAACGATAATCAGCTTAAATCACATTTCCGCCACATCCACACGAAACAATGACGGTGTCTTTTTTTCTAAAAAGAAAATTTTCAGATCAAATGAGAGAATTAAACTTTTGAATTTAGCTACAGTTGATGAATCTATCAACTTATGACCTTGTGTCTCTTCTCCACATAATTCCTATAAACTATGGGGTGATAAAAACCCAAAGAAAAGAAAGAAAAGAGAAAATTTACCCTGGCTGCATTATTTCTCACACAACCATGTATGGGCAAATAAGATCATTCAATTTTTCAATGCCCAAAAAAAACCCATTTTATTAAAGGACCTCAGAAACAAATGAGTAATTACTAAATAGCTTATTCTCCAAGCAAAAGGGAAAAAAGGATTTTTATTTTATTTTTATTTTTATTTTTTTATAACTTATTCTTGACGATCCAGTCTAATATTGAAGCTCCAAAAAAAAGGATTTCTTTTTTCCCAGGGAACGACATATACATAGCACCAAGACAAAACAAAAATTTAGGAGAAACAAAAGGGGTTAATATTGTGAATACCTTGAAAGCCTTCGTTTGTGGCCATAGCTCTGACAGTTTCTTGACAACAGAATGAAACCCAGTGCTTTGTTCGTGCTGGAAATCAAACAAACAAATAATCAGAAAATTATGAGTAGCTAGAAGTATAAGAAACTAAAATGTAGAAGCTATGACTCCAAACCCATAAAAGAAAATTTAATATAAAAAAAGGAGAAAAGTTAAAAATGAAAACTTTATTCGCATAATCACTAAAGCCCAACTCTTTGTTTTGTGGTGGAAATCATCACAAGAAAGCACACAGAGTAGAAGCTAGGAATTTTGAATCAAAATAGTAAAATAAATGTAGAAGCAAGAAATTATTGTAAATGAAAAGCTTTTTCATTACAACAATAAAGTGTAAACTGGATTTAGAAAGGGGAGCGAACAGTTCATGAAAATTAGGAAATAAAACCAGGAAGAGACATATATAGTGAAATTGATTGAATATCAAATTTAAACCCTAGCAGAGAGAGAGTACCTGGAGGTTGTCTGTTTTGTCTTCTGGCCGGAGCACCTGGATTTGTCTGATAGGTAGAGAGAGAAGGTTAAATTTTTTTAAGGCTTTTTCTTTTCTTTTCAAAACTAGAAACCCAGGAGAAATGGACTGGGACTTTTTCTGTTTCTGAAAAGAAAAGAAATATCGGGCCGGGCCCGGGACTAAAAAGTTTGGACAAAGTGGTTAGGATTCGATTCTCCCTCCCCAGTAATACTTGTAAAAAATAATAATAACAAAAAGAATTTAGTTTTTCAAATCAAAAGAAAAAATATATATAATTTTTATAAAAATAAAAAAACCTTTTCAGCCATCTATTGCTTGTTTTTTTCTTAAATTTTATTTACAAATCAATGATAAAATCTTGGTAAATAAACAAGAGACGTGGCAAAATCATAATGATCTGATGACATGCATGACATGAATACGCACGATCTTAATAAGTTATCTTGATAACAAATGACCCTATTTAATGACCAGTTAAAAACATATTGTGTTTGTATTAATCTATAAAATTCGTTATCGACTAGCTAAAAAATAAAGTGATTTTACTTTATTTATTCCTTATGGGACCTTTTAAAAAAAAATGTTTATTGTATATAATATTTTCATAATGAGCTTATGTTGTAAAATGCATTTTAGTTTTTTTTTAAAATTATTCTTTTTCAATAACGAATATAATGTCTCTAATGTGCCAAACATGCACAGGTAATATACGACATGTTTCACCTGTTAAGGAATCTAATTATGATTAATATTGTGTACATTTTTGGTATGTTAGAGCCATTAAATGCATTATTGAAAAATAATAATTTCTTTTTTTAAAAAAAACTTAACTAAAATGCATTTTTCAACATAAGTTCCTTATGAAAAGCATTATTTGTGGGACAAAATTTCCTCCTCGTTTGAAAATACTTTTAAGCCCTGGAACCCAGAAAAAAAAGAGAGGCAACAAAATTCTCTAACACATTAGTGTGATGTGAAACTAAGAGTCTCTAATGCCTAAGTTAGATTTAGAGATAGGTGAATCAGAATAGAGTTCTTAAGTCCAGTAATGGTTACCTTCTCCACAAGGTGGTGGTTGGCTTTTACACGGCTCATGGCTAGTTTTTGGTAATGGTGGGAGACATGTCGTGCGTTTATTAAGCCTATCAATACTCGTTATTTGACACGTCAATTCAATAATCCGTTTGATTTGTGACGTGGGATGATTAATGGGTTTGATAGGCGTGGTCTTTGGTCCATTATTGTTGTGATGATAATGGTCGCTTATGATCAGCCTGATTTATCGGATGCCTTTAGACCAAATGTTGACCTGGCTAGACTTCTTTGTTTAGCCATAGTAGGCCTTTTAAAGACATTAGAGTTGAGCATGAGCCAAACCTTGCATTTACCGTGACACAGAGGAAGCGTTCTCTACCAACTATACCAAATGTTACCATCCATTCCTAATCAATGCTTGAGTAATAAGTGTGGACCTTCATTTCTCGTGATTCTAGTAGGTGGAAAATTCTCAATAAAGAGTTGGTGAAATGGAGAGATGCTTTGGCAAAAGCGGTGGATAACCATAGAAGCGGGGAAAATCATAGCAATGAGGTAAATTATTTGTAATTTTTGTTTTATTAATTTTAATGTAATATTAATTTTTATTTAAATGTTTCTTGCAATATCTATAATTTTTTTAAAATATTTCTTGCATTTCCAATAAATTGTTAAAATTTCTTGCATTTTCATTTTTTTTTATTTGTTGCATTGTCAATATTTTTTTAAAGTTTCTTGCATTTCCATTTTTTATTTTTTATTTTTTATATAGATTATGCAAGCATAAATGTGGTATGGTGCTATTGGGCAAGGCAAAAAAACTTTCAACCATACCCAATGTTGGGAGGCGGTGAAGAATTGTAAGAGATTCAGAATTATTCCAACAGGTCCGACGGTGGTGTTGAACGAGACGCCACTCCATGATTCACGGGCATCAAATTCGCCTATGGATTCCCGAATGAGTCAAGACTCACCCATCGAAAAAGAGACGAGGCCTATTGGGAGGAAGGCGGCAAAGGCGAAGAGAGGGAGTAATTCTACTAATGCATCTAAATTTTTGGAGGAAATTTTAAGGCAAAACGCCATGAGACTTGAAATAGACATGAAAACCGAAGAAAACGAGAGGGCAATCCAACTAGAATATGCAAAAGAAATGGAGTATAAATGCAAAGGAAAGAAGTGTGTATGCTAAGAAAACATTGAAAAAAAAGATCGGGAAACTATGGCCATGGATACAAGCCATATGTCCCCTGAAACAAAACAATTTTGGAAATAGAACGAAGGGATGTTATGAGACGAAAACTTTTACGTGACAATGGACCTAGCAACATGGATTGGTTAAATAATCAAAACTATTAAGTTAGTTTGCTTGCCTTTCATTTCATTGTATTTTAATGTTTTGTTTAAAAAATTAGTTGTAATTCATGTATTTTATTTTATTAGTTGTATTGATTTTCTTTTAGTGAATAAAGAAAACATTCTTTATTTTATCTGAAATTTGAAACCGAAAATCTTATCCGATTATGAGATATGAATAGTATTGACATGTAAGGAACCCAAAAATCTTATCCGAATATATTATCCAAATTAATTGTTTAGGTAAAAAAAGTTGTGAAAAAAATAAAAAAATGAATAGTATTTGCCATGACAAAAAACAACTGCTGGAAACACACATTGCTTTTGCAAGGATAGCCACTATTCACATGAATAGTAATTACCCTAGCCCCTCTTTGTCGTGGCAAGGGACAAGGGGCAAACTATTGGAAGTGCTCTAAGGGGCTTAAAAAAGAAACAAACCAGTGATTCAATAAGTGTGGCCTCATTAAAACCTTAACATAAAAAATCATAAAATTAAAGAAAAATTCGGTCAAGTAAAAAGAATACCACTACAACACAACCACAGGGTAAATATTCTGGTCCAAACTTTCTCCCTGCCCAATGTATCTTTTTCTTTTTTCTTGACAAAATGAAAAAGTCCCGGCCCATTTTAGGTTTAACCCATCAGGGCACTTCCAGCAGTCAAAATGTTGCCATGGCAAGGGGGGGGCAATGGGGGGTACTATTCACGAGAATAGTGTCTGCCCTTGCAAAAAGTAAGTTGCACTTCCAGCAGTTGCCAGGGCAAGGGGGGTACTATTCAATTTTTTGTTTTTTTCACAAATTTGTTTACCTAAACAATTAATTTTGACAATATATTCGGATGAGATTTTCTGATAAAATATTCGGATAAGATTTTCAGATAAGATTTTTTTCAAATTTCAGATAAATTTCGAGTTTTCAATTTCATATTAATTTCATCTGAATTTCAAATTTGGTTTTAAATTTCATTTTAATTTCAACTTTTCATTTGAATTTCAATTTCAGATAAATTTCATCCGAGTTTCAAATTTCGGATAAGATTTTCACCCTATAAAATTGCGCCATGTGTCATCTGAATTTCAAATTTCAGATAAATTTCATTTGAATTTCAACTTTTCATTTGAATTTCACATTTCAGATACATTTCATTTGAATTCCAAATTTCAGATAAGATTTTCACCCTATCAACTTGCGCCACGTGTCATGTCTATCGACCTAAATTTTTCTATAAAACAAAGGCTCAGCTCACAAACCTCTCACACTACATCTTCTCAAAAATTTCATTTCTCATATTTTAGATTTCATATTTCATCTTCCATTCACAATGTCAGACATGGAAGAGGTCTTGGACAGGCAAGAGCGAGAAATAAGAGAAAGAAGGCTTAGACGAGCTGCAAGCAAAAGAGCGCAGAGAGATCTAGATCAGCAACTTGTCATGGCTGTGGCCATGCTTGATGAAGAAAACCAGAGCAGTCGTGGTGAATGAAGTGAAGTGAAGAACATTTTTAAGATTTTAATGTTTATGTTTTATGTTTAGTTATGTTTGGTTTTTTTATGCTTTGGTTGTGGTTAGTTTTTTTATGTATGGAATGTTTTGAATAAAAAGGAATTTTATTTAATAGTTTCTTTGATAGAGAAAAATTAAACTTGAAAGTGAAAAAAATTTAGAGTTGAAAGTGAAAAAATTATTGAGTAGAAAGTGAATAATTAAACTTGAAAGTGAAAAAAATTTAGAGTTGAAAGTGAAAAAATTATTGAGTAGAAAGTGAAAAATTAAACTTGGAAGTGAAAAAAATTTAGAGTTGAAAGTGAAAAAATTATTGAGTAGAAAGTGAATAATTAAACTTGAAAGTGAAAAAAATTTAGAGTTGAAAGTGAGAAATTATTGAGTAGAAAGTGAATAATTAAACTTGAAAGTGAGAAAAATTTAGAGTTGAAAGTGAAAAAATTATTTAGTAGAAAGTGAATTTGTTGTTAAAAGTGAAGAGTATGGATTGGTATTTTATAAAAAAAAATTCAGTATTTTTTGGGGTTTTTTTAAAATTTTTTATGATTTTTTTCATAATTTTTTGCCTTGAAAAATTCCAGGCCGTTGGATTGGATGAAAATTCGGAAATCGAAAGGACCAGGTCGCGCCACGTGGCAGCTGAAAGAAAAAATAATAATTTGCGCCTGCTGACGTCAGCCTGCCTTCGGGCTGCTGCTCGGGCAGCCCCTGCCTTCGGGCCAGCCCAGGCAAGTGGACCCCACACTGCCCGGGCCAGCACTTGCTGCTGGAATGGTGTTTTGGGCTCTCCCCCCCCCCCCCCCCCCAGCCCGAGCGGGCTGCTGGAAATGGCCTCATGGGTTCCTCTTGCTGGTTTTGAAAAGAAAAGAAAAAGCGATTAAAAAAATATTACATCGTTTCTCCCTCTCTCTCCCTTGGACAAATTCAGGCATTCCGTTCACAAGAACAACACAGACAACCTCAGGTACTCTCTCTCCTTCTTCTATTTCTCTCTGCTAGGGTTTAAATTTGAGACTCAATAAATTTCACTATATATGTCTCTTCCTGGTTTTATTTCCAAAATAATTATTTTTATTATCTAATTTTCATGAACTGTTGGCTCCGCCATTCTAAACCCAGTTTATACCTCATTATTGTAATGAAAAAGCTTTTTCATTTACATATATTTCTTGCTTCTACATTTAGTTTTACTATTTTGATTCACAATGCCTAACTTCTACTTTGTGCTATCTTGTGATGATTTCCATCACAAACCAAAGAGTTGGGCTTTAGTGATTACTTGAATTAGGTGTAGAAAGCTAATAGAGTGAGTGAATTAAGCTGCAAATTTTGAAGAACAGCAATTGGGACATTTACAATTTTAATGATGAAGGTTTTGGGGTTCTCAATTTTATGCGAATTGTTAAATTCTCTTTAAATATTACTCTAGGGTTGATGTTTTTTGTACTCGTTATCTCATGAGAATTTAGGGTTTTTCTTAAGTAGTTTGAGGTTGACAAGTCTTTTGCCTTAAAGATTTTATGACTTGAGGTTTAGCTTCAGTTGATGTTATTTTGACAAGAAAAAAGAGAGTGTCTAGATTGATGAATATTAATTTAATCAAATGGGTTTTTCTCAACTGTTATGTTCAGGTTAAATGGACGAATCTGAGAAAAGAAAGGAACGACTAAGGGCAATGCGCACAGAAGCTGAAGAAGCTGAAGCTTCTCATAGTGTTACAACTTCAGCTGTCCCTGGTTACCTTTCCAATCCGTTGGCTGAAGATAGTGCAGCTATACCAGTGCACGAGGAACCTTGTGCTCCTTCTAGGTTTGACTTTTACACAGACCCTATGGCAGCCTTCTCTTCTGACACTAAAAGGGTTAAAGTTGGCAACCAGATTGCGCCGAGTAATTTTGGACGTTCAAATACGGGTGGTTCTCCTATGGCAAGGCTTTCGTCACCTCTTTCAGGTAGTGTGTAATTATCTTCAGAAAAAATTTCTTTGAGCTGGATTTCCTATAATCATGCATGGTTGGCCTATTTGATTTGATTTGATTTTCATAAACTCTAGTCATGTGGGGGTGTATGGAAAACTCCTATTCTTGAATCAGTGAATAAGATATTGGTTTTAAAAGTGAAAATGAAATTGTTTCTAAACCACAAATTTTCTTCTTCAATAACTTTTGCCAGCTTATGGTATGAAGTTGGAAATTGTGGGTAACATTATGGTTCCTTGTGTCACTATCAAATTATTTTCTTCGTTGGTGTGTGCTGGAAAAGATTTGGCTGTTTTTGTTTTAATTTCATTTTACTGCAAGTGTCATATACTTATCCAAATAGAAGTGTGGTCTTGTAATATTTGATGCATGCTCGGATTGCTTTCTTCCAACCAAAATATTGAACCCTTGAAGTTCATCTTAGTTATCTGCCTTTTAGTTTTTGTCTTTTTCTTTCCTTTTGATTTTGGTTTTCTTAATTTAATTTAGGAGGACCAAGGAACCCTGAAATGACTGCTCCTCCATCCAATCAGTTTCAGAGCAATTATTCACCAGATCAGAGAATGTATCAAGTACAACAAGGTTTCTGTCAAAACTTTGGTCCTCGAAGAAACCCCATAGGAATAGTGAGACCATTCTCTATGCATCATGGAAATCCACCTGAAGTCTGGAATGGAGCTGAAGGTGCTGCCAATTATAGTTTTCCATCTGATCCTTCAAGAGAATGCAGGTTTCCTGGCCCTGGGTTTAGACCACCAGGAAGCCCTGGATTTAGACCACCAGGAAGCCCTGGACTTGGACCACAAGGAAGCTCTGGATTTGGACCACCAGGAAGCCCTGGATTTAGACCACCAGGAAGTCCTGGATTTAGACCACCAGGAAGCCCTGGATTTGGACCACAAGGAAGCTCTGGATTTGGACCACCAGGAAGCCCTGGATTTAGACCACCTGCAAGCCCAGGATTTAGACCACTAGGAAGCCCTGGTTCCAATAGTGGGTTAGGCAGGGGGCACTGGCGTAGCAATAGTCCAAGCCCTCGTTCAGTACATGGAGGCAATACTAGTCCTAGTTCAAGTTCAGGAAGAGGTGGGGGGCACTGGAGCACAAGTCCTGGATCGGGACGGAGAGGTGGAAGAGGGCTGGGCTCTCATGGTCGTTCTACAATGGAAAAACAATTGGGGCCAGAGCGGTATTACAATGATTCCATGGTTGAAGACCCATGGAAGTTTTTGAAACCTGTTATCTGGAAAGGGGTAGATACTCCCATGAAACGTTTCTACAGCCCTGGCTCTTCAAAACCCCCAATTGAAAAATCTAGTAGCACAAAAGATGCTAGCATTTCAGAAGGCTCAAACAAGTCCACTTCACAGCCAAGCTTGGCAGAGTACTTGGCCGCCTCATTCAATGATGCTGTCAAGGACACACCAACTACATAACCTTTGCTCCTGAGTTCCAGGAAGAGCCTCTCACTGTATTAATGTACCGTTCTAAAAGATGGCAAACCAGAAGATAGAAGCAAGCGGTACAGAAGGTTCAAACAACTGCACTCTACAACCAAGCTTGACAGAGCACTTGGTCGCTTCATTCAATGAAGCCATCAATGGTGCACCAAGCAACAATTGCTCCTGATTTCCTGGAAGAAGTTCGAAATACTAATGCCCTTTAGAGAAAGATGGAAAACCACAGTGGTGCTAAGTAGGCACCAACTGGATCGATGGATTTCTAAAAGCACTGAGAGTTTGATGTGTTGGCATGTAATAATTTTCAAAAACAAAGAGAGATGTCAACTGGCTGCTGGTTTCTGGAATTTGTTTAAGACGGAATCATGGTATCAGTGTTTTTCAAGTTAAGGTTGCAATTAGAGAAGTTCCATTTGCAGTTGAATTATTTTCTCAGTTTTCTTTGTTCATGTTCACCGGAGAAAGATATCCTTGTGCTACAATTTTGCGTGCGAGCAATGCCATTCCTTTCAAGAATGTATTGGAAAAACCTAATTGCCCTTTTGCAACTTACTGTCCCCAAAAGTTGATTTTGAAACTGGCTTTTAGCACTAAGAAGTCTGTCTTTTGCAGCTTGCAGTCCGAGAACTGCGAAGAAGTGTGCTTCATGTTTCTTTTTGTGAACCTAGTGAAATCTGCAAGTTTTAACTGCATAGATTATGCAATTCATCCTTTTTGTATTGCTTTTCAAGTAAAATATTCAATTTTTTATAATATCAATGTTATTCTAGGATTATAGTAATTGAGCTCTGCTACACGTCAATTTATTCATCATATTTTGTTCACCAAGTGATGTCTCAATCTACATTTAATCAAATATGGACTCACAAACACATCATTTGGTGAGTAAAGTTGAAGAATAATTTGGTGAGTAATATTATTGTTAGTGATATGCTTGCATGGTTTGAAATTAAAAACTCTTGGCTGTTTTGTGCAGATATTTGTAATTGTGGTCATTATAAAGGGAACCCTTATTCACTGTACTAAAGTCATCTTACTCTCCTTTCATACCATTTCACCATTTCAATAAACGAGTGTGAACCATGAGGATTGCATGATTATTTTTCTTTTGTAGTGTTAATAACAGCACCCCTAATCAAACCTCTGATGAAGAAAGGTAAACATTAAACCACCATATCATTTTTACCTTTCAATTTAGAAAAAAGATAGAAAATTTGGATGATCATATGCAATTTAATCTCTAATCCTAACTTTACTAAACGAGAAATTAAAATAAAAAAGCTTAACCCTTTCCTTTGATCAAGAAGATGACTATTTTCCTGTCTCCCTAACAAAACCTACATTTGTTTCAACCAGGAAGAAAAAAGACCTACCTTTCTAAATCATGTCCTATCTACTAAAAATTTTCACATAAAAACGAGTCCCTTCAAAATTTGATGGCACAACCTTGTGTAAGACCAATGCTAAAAAATTGGTCATTCTTTTGGGGACAGCAAATCTTATCCCCAAAGCTATGGATGAGCTGCCCAGCCAAGCTTGATGGATCATCAGTGAACGTGTCCACAAATACTCTGACCACTCTTCGTTCTTGCATATTAGCTTTCAGACTGAACCAAGTAAGAAATTTTACTCTAAAATCTTCATCTATGTTGCCCTCATGCTCTAGCCATTTGATTGCTCTCACTGAGTATTCGTAATCACTTTCCTCTGCTCGCTTTGTACACCTGAAACCTGGTACTTTACGCATTCCGTTGGATTTACAAGGTGTCAATGGAGAAACTGCTTTGATCAAAGAAGCAGTTTCTGTTAGAGAAGGCAGTGAGTAGAGCCTTTTGCTCTGGTTCTTGTTGATGCCATTCGAGGATTGATGCTTCGTAGTATGGTCTCCAGAAGCTAATTTGATGTCACTAGAATTGGTTGATTCTTCTTGGGAATGATTTTGAACAACTGCTATATTATCTTCCCTTCTCTGATTCTCTAACATAACAGAGCTATCATACAATGCAGGTGTGACCCATTTAGCTTCCCAAACACCCAATACTCCTGCGTTGCTAAACAAAGAAACCTTGCAGAAATATTCAGCTGAGGGATGGAGATTGGTGAGAGTAAATTTCTTCTCTGGCCTCAAAACAATGAAAGAGGGTTGGTCTGGATAATCCTTAATATCAAACTTACGATGCCACAGCCTGCAACCCAAGAAGTTGTTAAAAAGATTATCCTCATATTCTAGCACGATGACAACAGAAGTAGGGGTTGAGTCTTCAAACCGAATGCGGCAAGCTGATACAACAGAATTATTAAGCAACATCAGTGAACAAATAATATATATGAAAAAAAAATTCAGTTTGTTTGACATCACCATACAGGACTTTATTTATTCTCCTTCCAATTAACTAACTAACTAACTAGGGTGATGATACCAGCCACCAGTTTGTATTTCCTACTGTAGTCGGAGACTCACACGTAACCCATATAAAATGAATTGTCCAGTGTTGTGTTCCATCTAGATGCTTCATATGCAAATGGGGATTTCAAATCATTGAAAACAAGAAAAAACAACTTACTTGCTCGCTCTTCCTTTTCCACATGGACAGGGCAAGGATCAGAAAACATTGAATCAAAATATTCCACTGCAGAATTGCACAACTTCTGAACATCAGCACCACAAGAGAGCCTGTTAACAATTCCACGCGCCATCTTTGCACAGACCTGCTCCAGTGGGCCTACTTCAATCTTCAGCTTTTTAATAGCAGTTTCTAAAGTGTTCTGTAGTTTCTGGTATTTCTCCGTTCCTGAAAGAATTTTGTAAGATAGAGAAATTCGTAGACACAGTACATCCACTCTTCTGGCCTCCTTTGCAATCATTAATTGCTTTCTCCAGGTTCTGCACAAAATCAATCTTCCAATTAGCCAACATTATTATTTGGTGCTAACAGCAACTCAAGTTCGGTTGGTCAGTTTGGGATTGCAACTGGTTGTACATCATTCATTCTGATAGTTGATTCCCTATAACTCTTTGAAAAAACAGTACAAGTGATATATCTTGCTTATAGATTAGGTCAAATAACCCAAATTGTCAACCTCATCTCAACCAATCATAGGCCACATTAGTATCAATAGAAAATATTTCCAGGACATAAATTTTTCCTAGGAATGTATTCTTAGTAAAATGTTCTAATTCTTTTAGTTTTCAGTTTTTGGGGATTGATACAAATTTTCTTGGAAGAGTTTGTAAAAAGAGATAAATATTACCAATCAAAACATATATAGGTGACTTAATTAAAATGCTGTTTTCTAAACATTATCATAACCTAACATCTTAGAAAATATTTTTCAAGTTAACATTTGTGGTGCCATTTCCTATATTAAATTAAGGTCACACACGCCAGAAATAAAATTTTCCCCAGTTTACTTTCTTTTCCTAGAATTTCTGCAAAAGAAACACAACCTTAAGGGAGATTCACTCTCAGATGCTATGATGGGTATGCAGTTTAGACATCTTCATACATGTTTTGATGGCTAGTACAATCTAAACTTCTTTGAAAGGGAGATTCACTAATCAGATGCTCTGATGGGTATGCATTTTAGACATCTTCGTACATGTTTATATGGCCGAGCTTGACACCTAGTAATCCTGGTTTGTTTATCTGGTGTCAGTGCACGTGTATGTGAGTAGATAGCATGCTTAAGAGATGTCTTTGTAAGTTCTAGAGACTTTGCTACTGTGCAATAACTGCTACTCATAATCATAGAAGCAAAATATGTTAGCTTTCACAGTACACATACTTAGGTGTTTGCATGTGTGCAAAGACACACAAACGCAACACCTGCAGATGTCTATATAATTCATGAATAGGTTGAGATTTAAATATTCACAGGTGTTTATAAAATATTAGTTACCTCATTAAATCATTAACCTTTCCACAAGCAATGCAATAGAAGCTTCCATCCAACTCTAGGCAGCAACCATTCTTCATAATGCCAGCTTTGTCATGCTTTAGAGCACACTCCAGATGGCATGAAATTCCACAAGGACCATTCTCATCAGCAGTATCAGAGCCACAGGTCAACCATAGACTAGGGTCCTTGTTATCATCGAAAAGATGACAGATACAGCAAGAACATCTCTTGCAAAAAGACTCCTCTGACCCTAAGGCAGCTCTGCAAGCTACATTCTGACAGACTTGGAATTTAGGGTGTCCTTCTTGACTAGTCACAGGAGAAACATTACCTGGGCCAGTGAGTGGTTGAAAGGAAGCTTCTACGTCCCTTTTCCTTTTCTTTCCCGTTTGATTTTTGGCCAGAGAAAATGCAGGAGAGCTTTTAGTAGTACTCTTAGATTTCTCAGATACTACCTTTAAAAGCTGTGCTATCATTTTAGGTTTTGTATATCCTCTGTACTTCCTCTCCTTACCCATTTCGGCACAGATAATTTCAAGAAGCTCCTTACGAGTAAACGAACTAAGGATTCCTGGGGCATCTTTTGACCATTGGGCAATCTCATGAACTAGTTCTCTCTTCTCTCCCAAGCTTAGCCTGCTACACTTTTCAGGGTCAAGTACAAAACCTGAGGAAACAAAACCAAACCAAATATCAAAACTGAACTTCAGATGCCTTATAAGCTATGAAGTTGAACATAATCACAGGAAACTAGCAGATACTTATAAAGGACACTTTACAATTCATATTCATAGTTTATCCTGGGTAATCATATAAAGTAGTGAGAATGAGACCAAAAAAGAACATTTATGCCCTGACAAAGTACCATGAGAGTAAGGTCACAACTAAACCTACGGCAGAATAACTCATTAAAACATCTCTTCGGTTTGTTGTTTCTCTATTTTGCTAGTTAATTTTCTATTTTTTAAGGGACACCAACAGGCTTGAACCTGAAATGGACCCTTGAATTTTGGTAGACTTTGTCACCATGTTGTCTCCATAAGGACTGATTCCTTTTGGTACAAAGGAAAGCAAAGGGAAGGGAGAGGTTTGAACTACAAACACCAAGGAAACACATTGTTTCTTCATAGCAAAGAAGTAACTCTCAAAACACAACTGTTCTTTACGTGATCTAATGCCTAATATCTCATATATAACGCACTGCCATTTTTTATTACCAAAACCTTTTAAACACACACACCATTAAGCTTTTTATTTTATAAAAATTTCAATTAAAAAAAAGGAACTTACAAAACAGATTTACCATGCCACCAATGAGTTATTATTCTCCCTATAGGCAATGCTTTTTTTTATTTAAAAAAAATAAAAAAAAAGGAACTTAAAAAGGAGAAAACAAAGTTCTGTAAACCACTCTTGTCTCTTGAAGGGTTAAGTTAACGGTTCCAATAGGCAATGCTGGTCGTTGTCATCAGTCAATCTAAACAGTGTCCCCCTATATGCTTTCTAGGAGGGACCAACAGCCAAGTGTGGTTTAAAAAAAACAAAACAAAACCCCCAGAAAAAGAAAAAGCCTTTTAATCATCCGCAAAATACTTCTTGCATTTTGGCAAATCCATAATTATGCAAAAAATTAGACCTTGGACAACGTACATTGGGAATAACAGCAATAAAGATGTTGTGAAATAAGGGGAAAAATCAAAATACAAAAAAAGGGCAAACTCAGATGCAAAATACTTTTGTGGTGACATACATTGTCAAGAACAATAATCATAAAGTAAACAAAACACCACAATCCATTGCAAAAGAGTAAACCCACAAAATTTTTATTAGGAAAAAAAAGAGAGCATGAAAAAAAAAGGAATGGTGACTGACCTGAGAACAGAGACTGCATGTCTGAAGCCCTCGCTTCTGGGTTGTTCATTGTTTTCCAAAGAGGAGGCAAAGACTCTATTTTTATACAGGGCCTTGTTTAAAGAGAGAGAGAGAGAGAGAGAGAGACGAGGATTTACAAGGAAAAATTCATGGAAAGGAGAGAGAGAGAGAGAGAGAGAGAGAGAGAGAGAGAGTGAGGGTCAGAGGAAAAGTGGCATCCGAGTAAAGAAATAATAAAATAATAAAATAGCCATAAATAAGAGATTTGGTATAAATGAGGCGAGAGAGCAATTTAGCCAATTGGTTTTTATTTTTATTTATTATAAATGTTTTTATGTTTCTTTTGCGTGATAACCCACGCGCCTGTCTGCGTCAATTCCTACTTTTTAAAAAAAACAATTAAATTAATGAATTCGTGGATGAGTGCTTGGGTGTAACTCTATTTGCTTTCATCGTTGCACAACTTAAGACCACAGGGCACAGGCCTTTTTTTTCTTTTGAAAGGAAGGCCAGAAGCCTTGTGTGTATGAAATTGAACAAGGACAAAATATATATTATCAAAAAGAAAAAGGCCAAATTATATTTTATGCCCCTGTAACTTAACCTAATTTCAATAAATTTTTTTTAATAGCAAATGGAAAAACAACGGAGAGAGATAAACACAATGAGCAACAAGCACTAGATACAAGAATGAAGTAACGGAAAAATCAGTTCGTTACGGTGTCGTTTTAGTGTCAAGAAATTCAAAAAAACATATAAAATCAGATGTTAAATGAATGTGGTTGTGATTAAGGTTAGGCAAAATTAGGAGGAAGTGGATTAAAAGAGAAGCCAAATTACGAGAAAAACAACTCAATAGCCTACATGATGGAGTGAGAAAGTGGCGTACTATTTGTCATTTAGTGTCGTTACACAAGATCCGTCAATAGCGTGTTTGTTAGCCAATTATACATCACGTCATTTTTCACTTAATAATTAGGAATTTCAAACTGTTGGATATTAATGGTCCAAATTCAAATTTTGTTTTCCAAATAAGTATAGGCTATCTCAATTTAATGGCCGAAATTCAATAATAAAATCAAATCCAATGGTAAAACAAAACCACGACTAAAATTTAAATCCATACATTAAAATTTTAACATTAATAAATCTAGCTCGGAATCACATAAAAAATCCAAATTTCTAATTGTTCAAAAATCTGCACAAAAATGTTATGTCTACGAAATAAAATGTTGATGTCATAATTTGAAAATTGATTGATTTGTTTGCAAAAAACAGAACAAACAAACGGAGGTTAAAATAATTTTTAATAATAAATAAAATAGGCTGGTAAATTATGAGCTTGGAGGGTTGGAGCAGAAACAACTTAACACCTATCGCATTGGTGAATAGTGACACTGACATTTGATGTCTAATTCATTGGAAATGACCTAAGTCTATATTTATCTTGCATAAGACCCCATGAGAGGCCTTAATATTCCGAAGTTAATAAACGTACACGTATCTCGAATGATGGTAAAAAAACACACTCCCTGTACCGAGGCGGGTCAAAGCTCAAACCAGAAGAAGGAAATTATAGATGTCAAGGCCATATCAACCAGCAAAACCCATAATCGCAATTTTTGTTCATATAATCTTTGAGATTACTCAACAAAGGGCCGATTTAGCATTGCTGTGAAACAAAAGATGAGAGAGTGAATAAACCTCATGCACCAATTTTTCTAGAGCTGATACGGCTTTCATCAATATATTCATTGGCATTGCTGTGAACGGAAAGGCTTCTCATTGGCAGTTGCATTTTCCGACTAGAAATTACAGCTATAACTCGTATGAACGATCTGCTCATCCAATTTACAGACATACTCTTAAAAAAAAAAGTTAAAATTTTTTAGTGGGTGGTCAAATTATCCAGACATCAATTCTCTGTATGTGCGCATAGAGACAAGAAAATCAAAATTTTGACCAAAAAAGAAAGGGACAAGCAAATCAAAATGGCACATCAACTGCAAGGTATCACGCCAAGAACTCCCATTCGCCTACCTATCATGGTCTAATTCATATGCATGTTCCAACCAAGTTTTAAGCATTGATGACAAGGAAGTGGCCCAGAATTGAAAATAGCTTGAAACAGACCGGTGGTGGACCAACGAAAAGAACTTATTGCATTGAAAACTATGGTTCTCTGAAAATAACGAATCAATTGAAAGCAAAAGTTATTAAAAAATAAATTATGTAGGAAAGGGACTTGTAGGTCGAGTGAATAAGGAGTTTGAGAATAAGAGACTCTCTAATTTTTATCATAATCAAATAGTGCTATGCCCTTTTTAAGAACATTTGGGTTATGGAATTTCGCAAAAATTCCACAACTTTAATACAACACAATAATATCAGAAGGAAGTACAAGTGTAAAACATGTTTTTAGTCCTGTTAGTTTTTATAAAGTTTTGTTTTCGTCTATACATATATTTGGTTTATGGTAGTTTGTAAATAGTTTTAATTCAACGATATATGTTCAAAGGCGGAATTAGGAATTTTTCAAAGGATAAGTTAACTAAAAATTTTAGCTTACAATTTCTATATGTCTAATGATATTTTTTAACTTACAATTTCTATATTGTTTTTCTAGAATAAAAGTATACATTAATCATATAATCCTAGTTTATAGCCCTATTAAATAATTTCTAATAAGTTTAGCATTAAAAAAATACATATTAAATGCAACAAAAGAGTTAACACAGGAACAATAGAGAAACCGCCAAAAATACCACAAAATAGACTTTGGAAAAATAATATTTCCCTATTAATAGAAATAGTGGGAAAATTGCCAAAAATAAACCACAAACGAAGGCCCCAACCACAAGTGGGAACAAGTTGATAAGTTATATAGGTTTAATTTTGTTTTTATTTAAACAAGGGCTACAATAGGTTAAAAATATATATTCAAAAAGCTACATGGCCCAACCCAAGATAGCCTTATAGGTAGTTCCGCCCAAGGGTGGTCCTACCCTAAGGGCAGGGTAGGCAACCGCCTACTCCATTTTTTGCCAAACTAAAAATTACACAATACTCAATACAATCAAATTTTTTCTGCCGACTCAAACCTAATCCACCAGGGGCGTTCCTACCCTAATAATAGGGTATGTAGCAACTACTCCATTTTTTGCCAAACTAAAAATTACCCAATACCCAATACAATCAAATTTCTTCTGCCTACTCAAACCCAATTCACCAGGGGCGGTCCTATCCTAAGAGCAGGGTAGGCAGCGGCTACTCTATTTTTCGCCAAACCAAAAATTACCCAATACCCAATACAATCAAATTTCTTCTGTCTACTCAAACCCAACCCACTCAAAATTTTCCCTTTAACAAAAACAATAGCTAAGCACACTCAAACTTTCTCCTTTAACAAAAACAATAAAAAGCAATATAAGCATGTGAAAGATGTTAAAGTTGTATGGAGATTTTTTTTTTTTTAATTACAAAAAAGGTGGTAGGAGTGTCACCTCTCCGAGCCAGGCACGGGTTAAGGGAAAGCTCTCCCCAAGAGGTTCCTTACACATGCGGAGGATCGAACCCCGGACCTCATTGAGGAGCCCAATCACATTCGCCCAACATGTGTGGCCTAGCCCGTTTAATTTTCCACTAGACCAAACCCACTTAGGTATGGAGATTTTTTTTAACATTGACTAACATTGTGAATTTTTTTAGTGCTTCTACTAAGCACCGTAATGAGTTAAATTTTTTTAGGCCCAAGATAGCCTTATAGGTAGTTCTGCCCTTGCATATGTCAACTTTCGTTTTGTTAGAAATGAATGAAAGTGTACCAATGTTCTTAAATTGGAACAATTTGCAAACTGCACGGATCAAATTCGATGCAATTGAAAATTAAGGGATCAAGGCAGAACTAAAATAAGTTTGTAAAGGAAACGATTTTCCCCTCAAAATTATTTTCCACAGTTGTCAGTGTATTAAATATGTGATAAGACATATGTCCATTTTAATTGAATTTTTCATTTTAATCTTCTGACGAAGATTAGACGAAGAAGGAAACAACCAAAATTAAGGATGCATATGAAAAGACAGAACAACTCAAGAGAAAACGTACAACAAAAATTTAAAATGGAAAGATAAAAAAGAACTCAAGATATGTTTTCTAGCTACATCTTTTAGGAGATTAGTTCTTCATTAGATGAGCATGGATTGAGGATAAGAGGAAAGAAAGAGACAACAAAAGATTAAGATGGAAAGAAAGAGACGAGTCCTAGGTTCCAACTTCCAGCTAATTGAGAGGCAAGTTCTTAATTAGGTTAGCTGCAGGGTCGAAGGTGGAAGCAAATATTAAAACTGATGAAAGACAAACAACTAACTCCAGAGACATGGGTTCCAACTTCCAACTTCCAACTTCCAGCTATATCTTGAAGGAGGCGAGTTCTCTCTCATCACATGAGATGAAAACAATTAAAATTATTTTTAGATGGGCATTTCTTGATTCTGTGAAAAGAGTACCTTTAATTTCTTTTAGTTGTACAACATTTATCACAAGTCTATGATCTAAATCTGATTTATGTCAAACAACTGGAGAAAGACTTTCATGAAATGGGGATAGCACTATTTTACTATCTAATATATTCCATGTGATCTATCATAATTGGTCTGGTATAGCAAAACAGTGTTATTCTCATTGCAACCAATTTTTTCTCCTGACAACTAAGGTATTATTTGTTGATGAATAAAGTCCCACATTAGAAATTTAACAAAATAAAATAAAACATATAATAAATAGTTCTACTACTAATTGCACTACCAAATCCTTTTATGATAAAACTTCACACCTACTGAGCTTTGTAAGTCATTAAAGCCATCTCTCTCAAATTTAACATTATTACCATTCTACATGTCACATAATCTGGTCATCACAATAAACTTGAAAAACAGTGTTGGTGTAACCAATATTTATGTGTCAGACGTTTATCCAATGCCTGCATGGATAAGAATTCTCAGACAAAATCATGTCACATAAAAAATTTCCTGTTGTTTTCCACCGACTTA